TTGACGAATAACTGAGTTCCTACTTACTGCTTGGTAAACAGAGGTGTGTGGAGGGAGGAAACTTGCCCAATGTTATGGTGTTCCATGAAAGAGCTTACCATTGGAATCCTAAAAGGACTGATTAAGGTCGCTACTGCTGCGGACAGTGAAGAACTGGAGTCACCAACAATAGCAGAAACCACGGGGGCTCTTTTGCAGGTGAAATCTGAAGATGTTTCTTCAAGTCTGTTTAAAAATTCGAAGTTTCTTTTTATTGATACGGAAGGTGTTCCACAAGAGTCGGAAATCCAGTAGCCCAGAGTAATGTTGGGAAGCAGTGTCGAGTCTTTGTTTATTTCTTCTATAGCAAAGATCATTGCCATTGCTAAACGAAACAATCTGAATCGAAACCTGTGGCAATCACAATATTAAATACACCATCTTTCGAATTTTCACAATAGTGGAAGTGACATTGATATTATCGTTTTGGAAAAGAATAAAACAACAGCTAGAATTCCGTTTCCTATAGTTACGACGCAGCAAAGAGGGATCAACATTTAGTGAAATATCTTGATGTGTTGCTTATAGATAAAACAATATAATGATGGTTCGCATAGATATCCTTAACTTTTTTTATGTTAGAGAGTTCCCTAATTTGGCAAAATTCAATTTGACATAGCTATATGTTTTACCCAGTGACTAACCAGCTTTATACCTGCTTTAATTTGGGACGTCTTCCCACCTTGAAAGACCTCCACAAAAGTGAAATAAGTGTAAATTGTATTGTAATCCTATTGCCACTGAACCAGTCTAACTAATAGGGCTTTGGTGTGTAGGACTGAGGCTGTATGTAAATCTCCAAATCTGCCAATAATTACTGCAGAATTGCTTGGGTTCCCTGGAACAAACCAGTTCCGCCCATGTGGATTGTGTTTACCTTCAGCTGATCTACTAAAACTAAACAACAACTTATGATGATGAATCAACTTGAATATTTCGGGTACGTAAGCAATTTACAATTATGGAATCCCATCTGCTTGCTTATAAAAGAAAATTCATCAATATCATCAATATCAATGTCACAGAAATCCGATTTAAAATTTATCTGGAATATACACGGGCACTACTACTCACATTACTTTCAGCTGAACTTCATCTAGTAACAATTTGAATCTATTGTGGAGAGAAATCACTGACATATCACCGAAATCAGATAATTGGGTACTGCACTAGGGTTTCGGCATTTCATAGAAAAATTGTCATCCAAACATATATACTCATACTCTCTTCAAATAGATTGGACGTCAATTAACCATATAATAGCATGCTGCAACAATGTAAGTTATCTAAAAGCGTCCACGTAGCTTGGTTATCTTACGACATTCATCCACAACGATTGGTCTATTTTTAGAATCGGATAAGACAAATGGACAGTTTCACTAACTTTGTACATCTTACTGCTTTTGGTTTGATTTTGAAATTCATATCCTGATCCTCAACATCGACATGAATACTGAAAACTCCTCCGAGAACGATGTCGCCGTCTTTAGATAAGCTAAGTGAATTAGACATTCCCCAACGTTTACAGGTTGTCTCTTCAGTCAGCCACACAGGAACAAGAACAGAAAAAAATAGCACGTAGAGCATAGGGAAACACATAGTTTTTAAATGTGCCCATCAGTGTCCAGAACTACAGCCAATCACCCTTATATACTTTAGATACTGTTACATTCCACTGAGTTTTGTGCATTTGCTTTAAATAGACGTATTATTCCAGAGGCTCTGAACAAATTATGGACAATTCTCGGAAGGAAGCACATTACCACTTTAATCTTCCTCCAGGTAATCAAACCAAATTAAAAAAAGAATATATTTTAATTACATGCTCATCTAAGATTAAGGTGTAATTTTTTTTCATTCATTTTCTAGAGCAACAATTAATTTCATTAAGGTTTATGGTTTAATTTAACAGATGTGCACGATGTGATGTAAACATTTTACTGTATACCAAGTTTTCCTGTTTCCCCTGGACTCCCAAGTAATTGTAAAAAGGCCGAGTTAGGAGTATAGCGTAACTTTGTGGGGGGTGTTATAGCCAAGCAGCAGGACTTGAAGTGAGCTGCGGCCTGATAATGGGGTTCAGTGATGGCTGGTCAGAGGATTGAAACATGGATAGGTCGGGGTCTCAGTGGCGGTAGGTCTGGGAGGCGAACCCAGTGCTGAGTCGCGGTGGAAGGACGTGAAGGCCGGGCATTGGGTCGGGGTCATCTAATGAAAATTCGACCCAAGGAGGAAACACACAGTGTATTTAATAAATCGATAACATAGAAGGATGTATTTCATTTGTTTTTTATTGAATGGTCAGAATTTAAGATAAATGTTGTTTCCATGCACCATGTGTGACCGCACCCTGGCCTGGCTCCACTGGCTCCCCATCCCTCAGAGGATAGAATTCAAAATCCTCATCCCCACTTTCAAGGCCCTCCGTGGCCTTGCCCCCTCCTACATCTCTGACTAGCTGACCTCCTATTAATCTGTCCACTCCCTCCATTCAGCTGCTGCATTTCACCCACAATTTACAGTCAATTTACTTTACAGTTTATTCTGTGAAGTGCATTAAGATGTCTAGAAGATGTGGAAAGTGCTATATCAAATGCAAGGATTATTATTATTATTATTATTATTTTATTATTAACCCGAGTGTCAGCCTGGCTCAGTTTGCAGCACTCTCCTATCTGAGTCAGAAGGTCATGGATTCAAGCCTCACATCAGGACTTTAAACTCATAGATTTGGCTGACATTCCTGTTCAAGCACATGGAAGATCCCATGGCATTATTTCAAAAGAGAAGTTAGTTTCTTTTTGGATTCTGGCCCACAGTTTCCGAAATACAATTCACTTTATGATGGGTTATGGGACATTCCTCTGCACAAATTGGCTACCGTATCCAGCCACAAAAATACAGAGTCACTACACTTTACAATAAAACCTATGAAGTGCTTCGAGACATCAACAACAACAACAACAACAAGATTCCATTTATAGAGCGCCTTTCACGTCAGGAGGACGTCCCAAGGCGCTGCACAGTTGGGTCATGACCCGAGCAGGGAGGAAATGGTCAGGGTGAGGGGAGGGAAGGGAGGGAGAGAGGAGGGGGGAAATGGTCAGGGTGAGGGGAGGGAAGGGAGGGAGCGAGGAGGAGGAAGAGAGTCGAGAGGGGAGCTGAAGGCACGGTCAAAGAGAAAGGTTTTGAGACCGGCCTTGAAGGAGGAAAGGGAGGAAGCAAGGCGAAGGCACTGGGGGATGGAGTTCCAGAGCCTGGGGGCTGAGAGGCTGAAGGCCCGACCACCGATAGTAGGGCGGTTGGGGCGGGGGACGTGGAGCAGACCGGAGCCAGAGGAACGGAGGGTACGGGCAGGTAGGTAGGGGGATAGTAGGTTGGAGAGGTAGGAGGGAGCAAGGCCGTGAATGGCCTTGTAGGTGAGGATGAGGATCTTGAAATCAATCCTCTGGGGGATGGGGAGCCAGTGGAGGCGAGCGAGGGTGGGAGTGATGTGATCGCGAAGCCTGGTGCGGGACAGTACACGAGCTGCAGAGTTCTGAATGACCTGCAGCTTGTGGAGGGAAGTGGCGGGAAGGCCGGCGAGGAGAGAGTTCCCATAGTCCAGCCTTGAGGTGACAAAGGCGTGAACCAGGGTTTCAGCGGCGTGAGGGGTGAGGTAGTGCCGTAATCTGGCGATATTCCGGAGGTGATGGAAGGCGGTGCCAGTTGTGGTGCGGATGTGAGGGAGAAAGGACAGCTCAAGGTCGAACAAAACGGCGAGGTTCCTGACTGGCTTTGAGAGGTGGAGAGTGCAGCCTTGGATGCTGATGGTGTCAGCGCCTGAGGTGCGGAGGCGCTGACGTGAGCCAATCAGGAGGGCCTCGGTTTTTCGCACGTTGAGCTGAAGAAAGTTGTCTCTCGTCCAGGACTCGCCCGACATGACACGCTGTGCCAAATGTAAGAGTTATTATTTTATTGTGTCCACTTACATATATTCCTCACTGGCATTAACTTTTAACAGACGGCCCTGAAAGAGGTCAAAATAATAAAGAAATAAAATTGAAATATTTGCTGTAATGNTTTTTGAATAACCATTAACTGCTTTTATTAGATGCTTTACTCATCATGTGTTTCTTCTAGCATTTGCTGGCTTTAGTAATATGATGTAACATTTGAGAGTAAATATACATATACATAATGTAAAACTAGATGCCAAAATAGCAAACACTTCTATGGCTAGAGTGTATTTTTCAGGATAGTTTATATAAGCTACCATTGAAGTTATCCAAACTACACAAAAGAAAAGCAAAGTAAAAGTAATACATTTATCTTCATTAAAATTTCTCGACCCTGTTCTGCCATTCTGATAGATCTTGGCTGATCTATACCTCAACTCTACATTACCCACCTTTGCCACATACCTCTTGATACCCCTCGCTAACAATAACTCAACCTTCTAAACTCAAGGAAATACAGGCCACGTTTAAGCAACCTGTCCTCATAATTAACCCGGCTCTGGTTTCAGTTTGATGAATCTGGAATCTGTCACCCCCAAATCCCACCCTCAATATATCTTTCCGGAGGTGTCATGGCCATAACCGGACCGAATACTCCAGATGGGATCTGACCAAGGCTGAAGGGCAAAGACAGTCTTTATGTAAATTAAATACTTTAGTCAAGACATTTAATAGGGACCAGATGTTTCTTTTACTCAATATGAAGCAAAGTAACCTATGAAAATGTTAACAACAACAATAAGAATACATTTGTTCAGCGCCTTTCACATCGGGAGGACATCCCAAGGCACTGGCATTTTATTGTCTGCTAACAATTCAAAAGAATCTTGCATCCAACACAAGAAATTCCTCACAACTTTCATATTAGTATTACCGATAAATCAGAATTTCACAATACTATCACCAACATCTAATTAATATGAAATTTTGCTCCAAAATGTTATTTTCATTCAGAAAACATGATCACTGTTTCTTGGAAGCCATTTTACCCATCATGTGCTTCTTCGTATTTTCCTCTTTTTTCAGCAGGATAATATAACATTTAGGAGCAAAAATACAGACAAGTAGCCCAAAGCTTGAGGCCAAAATTGCAAATATTTCTACAGCCACAGTGTATTTTCCAGGAGAGCTTACATAAGCTGGAATGAAAGTGATCCAAACAGCACAGAAGATAAGCATGCTGAAAGTGATGTGCTTCGCTTCATTGAAGTTGTCTGGAAGTCGGCGAGCGAGAAAAGCAACTACAAAGCATACACAAGACAACAGTCCAATGTAACCAAGTACACAGTAAAAGGCTACTGCAGATCCCAGATGGCATTCAAACACGATTCTTTCCTTAAAATATTCACTATTTTTCAGTGGATAAGGTGGTGACAAACATAGCCAGACAGTACATATTAAGCATTGTATCAGAGTAAGGATGAGAACACTCAGGCGTTGTTGTGTAGGTCCAAACCACTTCATCATGTTATTACTGGGAAGTGTTGCATTAAATGCCATCACCACAACGATCGTTTTTCCCAAAACACAGGAAATACAAAGAACAAAAGTGATAGCAAAGGCTGTGTGACATAACCTACAGGACCAGACTGAAGGCTCTCCAATGAATGTAACTGAGCACAGAAAACACAAAGCTAATGCGAAAAGAAGCAGAAAACTTAACTCTGAGTTATTAGCTTTAACAATAGGAGTGTCTCTGTGAACATAGAAAGCTGCAAATACACTCATAGTGATGCAAACTCCAAGCAATGCGAGTGTCACTAGAGCAATCCCCAATGTCTCCTCGAAGGAGAGGAATTCAATTTCCTTCAGTATGCAATGATCCCGTTTATCATTGGACCGGTATTCCAAAGGACATTTTAGGCACAAAGTTGAATCTGAGAGAAAGTAAATTGTGATTGAACGAACCTGAATTGAAATCTCTTCAATAAATGTTTGAGATTATAAGAAAGAATTAATAGCTGTGTTTGTTCTTACCAGTGATGTTACTAATTTCACCATCAGCACATTCTATACAATCAAAGCAACACTTTGGTTGTCCTCTTCTTGCTGCTTTCCTTGTTCCAGGGAGACAACTGTCAGAGCAAACCGCCCGTGGGACCTGGTTATAGACAAATGCAGCTACTAGATGTTAATATTATACAATTATTATTTTACTGAAGGCATGTGGTTCTTCAGTTCTATGTAATTATTTATCCTGAGAATCACAAGTGCACAGCAGAAGCTCTTACCGTAATCTGACCTCCATTCCATACAATTATCTTTTCCCTAATTTTAAATTGTTCCCCTGCAGGAGCAGATCCATCATAGTGCCCAATAGTAACAATATCAGTTCCATCGAGGTCATTTGGTTGCCAGTTTATAATGTCGTATGTTGCCACTGGATCTCCATTTTGATCAAAATAAACACTTTCACCAATCTTTGTGTTGAAATTTACTGTTTTCATGTAATGTAAAATCTTTATTGGAAAATAACAAGAGAATAGGAAATAATCTCTTATTTCTGTAAAATACTTCAAACACTTAAAGTAGTGCAAAGAGAGACAACACAAGACACACAATTTTCAGGTTCCAATCTCATTCTGGGGTTTGCAGGAATTGTATAGTGTCCAATCCTTATTTCTATGCAATCACCCATTTTTCACCACATAACATGAAGTTTTATAGGTCTGAGTAAGTTTTGAGGAGCACAATAATGTCTTTCAAATTCAATAGTGTGAAAACACTCACTGTCTAAGCTTACATTTAACGAAAGGTTCTTTCAGGAAATGTGAACAGCCAGATTATGTGGATACGGCCAACATTAAAATAAGAAACAAGAAAAACACAAAAAGCAGAAAAAACCCAATTCAATAATAAATTTGTTACAATCTTAGAACCACAGATCCGGGGACAGAGAGTTCTATTTATATAGAACAGAACACAAAAGAAACTCAAATACTGTTGAATCGTGTAATGTTTACATGACAAAGCATGTGAAGAACTGCTTACTTGCCATGGTTGAAAATTTGAAATATTTGCACAACTTTTATTGGAAAATGATCCCTTGCCACTTTCACACGACAGCATATCATGAAGAGCATGAGCTATAGCATAGGTCGCTGTATAGACATTGTAGGTAACTCTGTACTGAGACACATCTGTATATGTATTATTTACAGTCCGCAGATCCTCTCGTCCTGTGCATTCCTTAATTCCATCTGCTTTGTGCTCCTCGTTTCTTAATGTACAGTTGAAGGTCATTTCCCAAAACTCTTTTACTAAGCGGTTTCCTGGATATGCAGAAGGATGAACTCGCAGTAGAAACTCTCTCAACCCTGGAACGTGTACTTTGCGAATCGCAATTCCAATTGTGCCAGAAAGGAATCGTCTGCTTTCTTCTGGGGACAGATGTGTTGTGGTGACCCACGCCTCACTTCCTATCCATTGAATACCTGTCACATTTTGTCGCACAATTTCTTTGAGTAAAAGAGTCATGTCAGATTGAGCAAGGAATGCTACAACAACATTTGTGGTAGATTTCTTAATAACATCTATACTTTTAAGCAATTCTTCCCTTGAGTATGTTATATGGAAAGACTCAGAGAATGCAATACAAACACCGAGTTGTTGTATAGCTTTTGTGAACGCTTTCATTCCAAAGTTACCATAGTCATCGTCACTTCTAATGGTCCCGATCCACGTCCAACCAAAGTGTTTCACCAACTGAGCCAAGGCTCTGACCTGAAAGTAGTCACTTGGTATTGTTCTAAAAAATGATGGATATTCCCTCCTATTGCTCAGACATTCACATGTAGCAAAGTAACTCACCTACGGAAATAAACATGAGAAAGCGAACAAATAATTTGGAACTCAAATGAATGAAGAAATGAATGTTGAGTTTTCAAGGGAAATATGTTGCGAGTATTGGCCAAAGCCCAGTATCTATTATTGATTATCGCATCGATGACTTCTTTATTGCTACTGTGGTACAGTGCAAAACATTGATAACGTTTCCTAATGTCTTTACTTTTCCTTTATCTCTTGGAATCGACGTTGGATTTCCTGATGGTTTTGCCAAGTGGCTGTAAGTAAAGCTCACTTCCTGAACCTTTGCAACATTAAAGCAACGTTAGAAATACCAGGTGAAAACGAAGCAGCAAAGTAAGTTACTTTTGCGCTGAAGACACTGTACAATACTGAAACAAAACGCAATATAGATCCCAGATTGAAGAAGACCAAGAAAAAAAATCATAATATCATGCATATCTGAGACACTTATTGAAATAAATTGTTGTCTTGGAATCATTGTGAAATCGAACAATCTCTGGGGAAAACCGTTGGGTGTAAAATTACAATGTATTACGTAGACTTTATAACAAAAAGAAGCCATTCGGCCAACTCGTTTACACTCCACATGTACCTCCAACCCCTCGTAATTTCCTTTCACATAACTTTCCAGGTCATTTTGTTTAAAATATATCACAGGTTATCATTCTAAAATATGCAAAACAGGCTGATAGATTTGCAAAACGTTGCTTAAGACCGAAAGCATTAAGGATTAATAATATTATTAGTTATCTTTATTGCATGCAAATATGCACATTATTATGTAATGAAAGTAAATCGCGGATTCCAACGGTGTGCAACTGAATGGAAGTGGATAATAAAATACGTCGCATATTACGTTTCTATTCGTGTCTCCAGCAAAATGAAATCTTATGGCATGAAATTGCTTACCAAAGGAATCCGAAAACCACGGATTAAGGTCGCAATTGCTGACATCGAAGAACTCGAGTCACCAATAATTGCAGAAACTGCGGGCGCTCTTTTGCAGGTGACAGCTGAAGATGTTTTTTCCAATCGATTTAAAAATTCGAAGGTTGTTTTTATGGACATGGCAACCATTCCGCAAGAGTCAGAAATCCAGTAGCCCAGAGTAATGTTGGGAAGCAGCGTCGGGTCTTTGTTTATTTCTTCAATTGCAAAGATTATCGCCATCGCAAAGCGAAACAGTCTGAATAGAAACCTGCAGGAATGACAATATTAAATTACAATATTTTCGCAACATTGAAAGCGGCATCGGTATGATCATTTTGGAATAATTCCTCTGATAAGCAATGGATAGAATTCCCCTTCCTGCAGTTAGGCATAAGTGCATAAGGATTAAAGGACGGAAATAACATTTATTTTTAGAGCAAGACGATTTGATGTATTTGATGTGTCTTTGGGTGCATTGCTTACGGCTATAAACAATAAAATCATAGCTTGCGTTGATATTGTTAACNTTTTTTTTAGGTTACAGTGTAACCCGATCTGACGAAATTCAAATCGACACAGCAAAATATTTTTAAATGGCAACTGACCAACACTCTACCTGGGCAGGTCCAGCTTTATAATGTGCTTTGCTTTGGGACTTCCTGATGGCTTGAAAGACCTCCGAAGGTGTGAAATAAGTGCATTGTTTTGCAATGGTAGTGGCACATGTAAATCTCAAAATTCACAATTTCTGTGAAATTCCCTACATCTATAGCAGACCGGATTCGCCCATTAGGGATGCATTTACCTTCCGCTGATCGACACGCGAGAAAAATCGAAATAAAGCTTAAATATCTCGGGCACATGAGCAGTTTCGGATCCAATCTGTTTTTCTTATAAAACAAAAGCAAACGCACCAATATATTATGTCATATTAACTTAATTGCAAATTTACTTGTAGGGAACACGGATACTACTTACTCACATTCCTTTCAGCCCTGTTCCATCTCGTGACAATCCGAATATAATATAATATAATAATATAATATAATGTGCAGGGAGATCGCTAAAATATCACCCAAATCAGATAATTCGGGACTGCGGTAGAGTTCGCAAGTTCAAAAGAAAACCTTCCATCCAAACAACTATACTTTCCTTTTAGAGATTGGAAGCACAGATCAGGCTACAATGAGGTAAGTTATCTAAAAGCGTGTGAGCAGTTTGGTTAATTCATGACGTTATTCCGCAAGGATCTATCTGTTTTTTTTAGAATCAGATAAGACAAATGGGCAGTTTCACTCACTTTGTACATGTTACTGCTTTTGGTTGGGATTTAAAATCCATATCCCGATCCTCAACGTCGACATGAATACTGAAAACTCCTCCGAGAACGATGTCGCCGTCTTTAGTTAAACTAAGTGGATCAAACATCCCCCAACGTTTACAGGTTGTCTCTTCAGTCAGCCACACAGGAACAAGAACAGAAATCAATAGCACACAGAGCATAGGGAAACACATCGTTTATAAATGTGCCCATCAGTGTCCAGAACTACAGCCAATCGCTGTTATATACTTGAGACACTGTTATATTCCACTGACAGCTGTGTACATTAGCTTTAAATAGATGTATTACTCCAGGTGCTCTCAACAAATTAAGGACAATTCTCAGAAGGAATCACATAATTACTTTAATTTTCCCCCAGATAATGAAACCAACTGAGAAGAGAACAAAATTTAATTGCAGACTCATCTGAGCATAAGGTACAAACTTATTCCTTTTTCATTCATTTTCTACAGCATCGATTAATGTCCTTAAGGTGTAGGTTTAATGTAACACATGTGTGCAGTTTTGTAAACATTTTTGGGTCACAGAGTTTTATATCAAGTTTCACCAAGACTCTTTATTGTCAGTTAACAATCAAGCAAACTATCTTGAATTCAATACAAGAAATTATTCACAAGTTTGATAACATTATTGATACACAATCAATCAGAATATCACAATACTTCCACGAGATTAACAAAATCAACATCTAACTAACACGTAATGTTTTGAACAAAATTTTATTTTATTCAGAAAAAAATGTTCACTGTTTCTTGGAAGTTATTTTACCCATCATGTGCTTCTTCGTATTTTCTTCTTTTTTCAGCAGGATAATAAAACATTTTGGTGCAAAAATACAGACAAGTAGCCCAAAGCTTGAGGCCAAAATAGCAAATATTTCTACAGCCACAGTATATTTTCCAGGAGAGCTTACATAAGCTGGAATGAAAGTGATCCAAACAGCACAGAAGATAAGCATGCTGAAAGTGATGTGCTTCGCTTCATTGAAGTTGTCTGGAAGTCGGCGAGCGAGAAAAGCAACTCCAAAGCATACACAAGACAACAGTCCAATGTAACCAAGTACACAGTAAAAGGCTACGGCAGATCCCAGATGACATTCAAACACGATTCTCTCCCTAAAATATTCACTATTTTTCAGTGGATAAGGTGGTGCCAAACATAGCCAGACAGTACATATTAAGCATTGTATCAGGGTAAGGATGAGAACACTCAGGCGTTGTTGTGTAGGTCCAAACCACTTCATCATGTTATTACTGGGAAGTGTTGCATTAAATGCCATCACCACAACGATTGTTTTTCCCAAAACACAGGAAATACAAAGAACAAAAGTGACAGCAAAGGCTGTGTGACATAACCTACAGGACCAGACTGAAGGCTCTCCAATGAATGTAACTGAGCACAGAAAACACAAAGCTAATGCGAAAAGAAGCAGAAAACTTAACTCTGAGTTATTAGCTTTAACAATAGGAGTGTCTCTGTGAACATAGAAAGCTGCAAATACACCGAAAGTGATGGAAACCCCAAGCAATGCCAGTGTCACTAGAGCAATCCCCAATGTCTCCTCGAAGGAGAGGAATTCAATTTCCTTCAGTATGCAATGATCCCGTTTATCATTGGTCCGGTATTCCAAAGGACATTTTAGGCACAAAGTTGAATCTGAAAGAAAATAATTTGTGATTGAACGAACCTGAATGGAAATCCATTCAATTAATGTTTGAGAATATAGGAAAGAAATCACCCGAATTCAAATCCATTTAATTCCTCCCCTGCCCTCCACCCTTCCCGATCCCGACCCCCAGCTCGGGTCCGAAACACTGATTGTCCAGCGCCTTCGGGACATCCTCCCGACGTGAAGGGCGCTGTAGAAATGCAATTTTGCTCTTGTTGTTGTTGCTGTTTTATAAATGTTTGAGAATATAAGAAAGAATTGATAGCTGAGTTTGTTCTTACCAGTGATGTTACTAATTTCACCTTCAGCACATTCTATACAATCAAAGCAACACTTTGGTTGCCCTCTTCTTGCTGCTTTCCTTGTTCCAGGGAGACAACTGTCAGAGCAAACCGCCCGTGGAACCTGGATATAGGGAAATGCAGATATTAGATGTTCATATTAACCGACTGATCTTTTGTTGAAGGTGTGTTAATCTTCAGTTAATTATTTATCCCGAGATTCACGTTGATTTGTAAGAACGGTTCGTCATAGTCGAGCAACACCTTTCACATTGAGACACACATTCGCAGCAAAAGACTTACCCTAATCTGACCTCCACTCCATACAACTGCCTCTTCCCTTATCTTAAATTCTTCCCCTGGAGGAGCAGATCCATCAAAGTGCCCGACAGTGATAATATCAGTGCCTCCGAAGTCATTTTGTTGCCAATTTATAATGTCGTACGTTGCCACTGGATCCCCATTTTCATCGAAATGAACATTTTCACCAATCTTTGTGTTGAAATTTACTGTCTTCATGTAATGCAAAATCTATATTGGAAAATAACAAGACATGATGAAATAACCTTTTACTTAACCAAAATACAATTATAATTGTGCAAGACAAAGCGTTACAAGGCAACAGGTTGCAGGTTCCAATCTCATTCAGTGTCGAGGAGGAGAGATTGTTACAAATTGGCTTTAATGCCACTGAACCAAGGAAGGGAAAATCAGTGACTATTCCTTGTCCAACTCAATCACATTTCCCCCCATGTGACCAGAAGGTCTGACGATGCAGAGTAAGAATTGGAGGACATTGGAGGACGGTAATGCCCTTCAAATTGAATCGTGTGAAAACACTCACTCTCTAAGGCCACATTCACAATAAATGAGGTCTGTCATGATATGGGTATCCAACCAACAGCAAAATGGTAAATGGTAAAATAGCAAAACAAAATCACAAACAGTCATATCTAAATAATATATCTTGGAACGACAGATCTATGACTAAAGCTTTCCATTTACATAGCACCCAACATAAATGAAACTTAAAGACTATTGAAAAGTTTAACGTTTACACGACAAATCATACGAAGAATGTCTTACTTGCCATGGTTGAAAGTTTGAAATATTTGCACAACTCGTATTGGAAAATTGACCTTTCCCACTTTTGCATGACAGCATATCATGAAGAGCATGAGCTATAGCGTAGATTGCTGTATAGACCTTGTAGGTAACTCTATACTGAAACACCTCTGTATATGAGTTATTTACAGTGCGTAAATTCTCTCGTCCTGTGCATTCTTTCAATCCGTGTACTTTGTGCTCCTCGTTTCCTAGAGTACAGTTGAAGGTCATTTCCCAAAACTCTTTTATTAAGCGGTTTCCTGGATATGCAGAAGGATGAACTCGCAGTAAAAACTCTCTCAACCCTGGAACATGTACTTTGGGAATCGCAATTCCAATTGTGCCAGAAAGGAATCGTCTGCTTTCTTCTGGGGACAGATGTGTTGTGGTGACCCACGCCTCACTTCCTATCCATTGAATACCTGTCACATTTTGTCGCACAATTTCTTTTAGTAGAGCAGTCATATGAGGGTGAGCAAGAAATGCTACCACAACCTTTGTAGAAGATTTCTCAATAATATCTACGGTTTTAAGCAATTGTTTTCTCGAATACGGTACAGAGAAAGACTCAGAGAAGGCAATACAAACACCGAGTTGTTGCACAGCTTCTGTGAACGCTTGAATTCCAAAGTTACCATAGTCATCGTCACTTCTAATGGTCCCGATCCACGTCCAACCAAAGTGTTTCACCAACTGAGCCAAGGCTCTGACCTGAAAGTAGTCACTTGGTATTGTTCTAAAAAATGATGGATATAAGTTCCGGTTACTCAGACATTCACATGTAGCAAAGTAACTTACCTACGGAAATAAAATGAGAAAGAATTATCATTTTTAATGGCAAAACTGTTATCAGTATCACCCAAAGCCCAGCAACTATTATTGATTGAACAATCGTGCATTTTTCTAATGTTGATGCAATTTTCTCTTGCTTTTCCTCTCGCCAATATAATTCACTTCCAGAGCTTGACAACCTCAAAGTAATGTTGGAAATATCAGCTCTAAGTGAAACAGTGTGATTCTGAAATTGCTGAATAATACAACATGGATGCCAGAGGGAAGAATAAAAAAATTGTGATAGTCTCCATATCTGAGAAACTCGTTGAAATAAATTGTTATTTTTGGACAGTTTGTGAAATCACACTCAAATACAACGATCAATGGGGAAAATTATTGTGTGTAAAATTACATTGTCTTCCAAAGCCTTTGTTACATAGAAGACAGTTATCGGGCCAACGCATTCATGACAGTGTTTATACTCCACATGAACCTCCCAACTGCTGTAACTCCCTTTCTCCCATAACCTTCAATGTCCTTTCCTTTAAAATATATGATATATTGTCGTTCTGAAATTGCAAAATCGGACAGTAATTTTTTTTAAAAAGAATGCTTCACACCTGAAGCAATAAAGATTAATGGCATTTTGAATTAATTAATCTACCTTTATTGCATATTGCAGATTATTGAATAAAATAATAATTATTTAATAAAAGAATAATTCTGTCATTTGACATAGGGCCTTATCACGTCGTTTAGACATTTCAGAGCGCTTCACAGAATATACTGTAAAGTGAATTGACTATGTATTTTGTGGGCGAAACGCGACAACCAATTGCGCACAGCAGTGTCTCAGAAACAGTAGTAGATTGATTGACCAAATTATTATTTTTTTTTTAAGGGACTCATCCACCAATCGACTAACAATTGGATTTTAACTTACTGCTTGGTAACCAGACATGTGTGGAGTAAGGAAAGTTGCCTAAGTTGCTGGGAATGGAACCAGGGTCCTCTCACTTGCGAGGCGAGTGCTCAAACCAATACTCTACAGGACGCCACTAAACGAAAAGAAAATCGCGGATTCCAACGGTGTCCAACTACATGGAAGTGGACAATAAAGTATGTTGAATAACACTTTTCTATTACTGTGCTCCCCAAAATTATGATCTTTATCCATGAAAGAACTTACCAGAGGAATCCTAAAAGGACTGATTAAGGTCGCTATTGCTGCGGACAGTGAAGAACTGGTGTCACCAACAATAGCGGAAACCACGGGGGCTCTTTTGCAGGTGAAATCTGATGATGTTTCTTCGAGTCCGTTTAAAAAATCGAAGGTTCTTTT